CCATTCGAAGACGAACGGTTGTTTTAGAGGTGGAGAATGTGACGACCCAAATGGTCATCACTTGATTTTAATTGAATTCTGTGTCTCCGAGGCCTTGAAAACCTCATTTAGAGTTACCTCGATTTGCGTGCGTAGTCCGGGCGCGTAGCCGGAAAGCTTAAATATGAAATTTTGTGAAAAATGATAAGTTTTGATTATAATATGAGTTAACTTGACTTCGGTCAACATTTTGGGTAAACGGACCCGGACCCGTGATTTGACGGTCCCGGAGGGTCCGTAGGAAAATACGGGACTTGGACGTATGCCCGGAATCGAATTCCGAGATCCCAAGCCCGAGAAATGAATTTTTAAGTAAAATTATTTTCTGAAATTGTTTAAGGAAATCTGAAATGAAATCTGATTAGAAAGCAATGGTATCGGGCCCGTATTTTTGTTCCGGCACCCGGTACAAGTCTTATATATGGTATAAGTCATTCCTGTAAAGTTTGGTGAAAAACGGACGTCGTTTGACGTGATTTGGACCTAAATTGCTAAAGTTGATGCTTTAAGAAGTTTGAGAAAAATGCTTTGATTTTGAGGTTTAATTTGTTGATAATGATGTTATTTTGGCAATTTGATCGCACAGATAAGTTCGTATGATGTTATTGAGTTAGTACGTATGTTTGGTTAGGAGCCTCGAGGGCTCGGGTGAGTTTTGGATAGGTGTCGGAGTGTTTTGAACTTAGAAAAATCTGGTTTTTCTGTAGCTTTTTTGTGTCCAGTGATTTGTATTATGCGATCGCATAAGTAGGCTCGCGATCGCATAAAGTAATTTTCAGTGGTTCAGTTTTGTTCTATGCGATTTCATAGTGCCTCCTGCGATCGCATAGTGTTAAGTCTGAGAGGTCCTATTTTCTCCTCTATGCGATCGCATAGTGCTATTTGCGAACGCAATGCCCAGCCTGTTTCTTCTATGCGATCGCAGTGCTCTGTTCGCGATCGCAATGACCATTTCCCCCTTACTCTATGCGATCGCATTACATTCTTCACGATCGCATAGACCATTTTCGCACAGTTAAATTTTAAAACTTCATAACAGTAGCCTTACGGGATTTCATAAAATTTTCATAAACCCCTTCTTCCCCAAAGCTCTTAGGCGATTTTGAAAGCACTTCTTCACCAAAACTTCTTGGGTAAGTAATCTTTAACTTGTTTTCTTCCGTTTTCATCAATATCTATTAGATTTCTAGGCTTAAAACATGGAATTAAAGGTAGAAAATTAGGGATTTGGGTAGAGTTAGGGCTTTTTAATTAATTGTGATTTAGACATTATTTTGGGGTCGAATTCTGAAAATAATATATGTTTGGGCTCGTGGGTGAATGGGTGATTTGATTTTGGTCCGAACCTCGTATTTTGACCAAGCGGCCCCGGGGTCGATTTTTGGATTTTTGGGAAGAATGATTGGAAAGCTATAATTAGGCATTGGATTCGAATTGTTTAGCATTATTTGATGTTATGAAGTCATTTATGTATTGATACAATTGATTTGGAGCTGAATTCGAAAGGAAAGGCGGTAATTGAGGATTGAGTTGGCCGTGGAAGTTTGAGGTAAGTGTTCGGTCTAACCTTAGCTTGAGGGATTAGGAGTTGAGTCATATTTGCTACTTGTTTCTTGTTGAGTACGACGTATAGGCATGGTGATGAGTATCTATACGTTGGTGTCGAGCATGACCGTGAGTCTTAAATTGATACTTGTTGTATTCTTGAATGATACTATGGTTGCGATAGTGAGTAAATCCGTGGTATTGAGCAAAGACTTGGTTTATTCCGTGGAAGTTACTTATGAGTTAGAAATGGTGATAATTGAGATGATTAGGAATTGAGTTGAGATTCGTTATAGCGGATTCTCCCTTGCCGGGACGTATATACTTGTACTGTTGAGTTCCCTCGCCGGGATAGTATAATTTATGTTTAATCCCTTGCCAGGACTGTTGTCATGATCACTGTAAGCCGTATATTTGGAGCGGGTTGCACGCTACAATATTTTTATTACTATATGTATATGGATCGGGTTGCACGCCACAACAGATATTATATTGGATCGGGTTGCACGCCGCAACAACTATATGTATATATGGATCGGGTTGCACGCCGCAATAGTGTTAATTGATAAGGGATCGGGTTGCACGCCGCAACAACTATATATATATGGATCGGGTTGCACGCGGCAACAGTGTTAATTGATAAGGGATCGGGTTGCGCGCCACAACAGTAGTGCTATTGTATTGTTGTAGATATTGTACTGATCTTTCATATATCTATTGGTTTCTGCTAGGTTGGTTTGTTTCCCCGAAGCATGTACACCCTCCCTCTTAAACTGGTTATTACCTGTTTAGTTTTCCACCATATATTATATCACTGCACAGGTTTATCTGGAATCTGGTTCTTGCCTCGTCGCTACCTCGCTGGGGTTAGGCCAGACACTTACCAGCACATGGGGTCGGTTGTGCTGATACTACATTTTACACTGTGTGCAGATCCCGGAGCAACTTTCGGACAGCAGTTGGAGGGCTTCCTTCAGTCCACCCGGAGACCCAAGGTAGACCTGCAGGCGTCCGCGGGCCCTGGCGTCTCCCTCTATCCCTATTTCCTGTTTCCTTTATCTCTTATTTAGAAACAGTACTATGTATTTTCTTCAGGCCTTGTATGTAGTAATTCTTAGACAGTCCGTGACACTGTGACACCGGGTTTTGGGGTATTTGAGTTTTAAAAGTTGTAATAGACATAGTCTTAAGATACATAACTGTTGACTCCCGCTTATTTATTTAAAATTCCGCTGTCATCACATTATCGTCTGGTATTTGTTAAAAAAAAAAGGAAGAAATAAGAAAGTGTAGCAAGTAGTTAAGGTTGGCTTGCCTAACTCTCATTAGTAGGCGCTATCACGATTCTCGAGGGTGGGAAATTTGGGTCGTGACATCAAGACTCTCATTTTAAATGATGTATATGCTCTTGTCACTTTCTAGCATTTCTTCGCCTGTTGTACGAGATGTTATTGAAGTTTCATTCCCTCGCTTGATTCCAAAATTTTTTTTTTTTTTTTTTTTTTTTTTTTTTTTTTTTTTTTTTTTTTGCGTTGTTTATCTTTCGGGAGAAAAAGACACAAGAGGTAAAGTAAGTCTGTCCAAAAAATTAAAGAGCTTGAGTTCTATATGTTGATGGTGAGAAAAATGTTTGCACAATCAGATTACTCGAAAAGTAATTATAAATATATGTTTTCAATAAATATTGATTGTTAATCTAAAATAAATGATAGTAACCTGCTATAGTAAGTAAATTACATTAATAGTGTATGACACTTAAATTTTATTAACAATATGTATATATCTTTAATAGGTCCACACCACTTAAAAAATAATATAAAGTAAATGTTAATTTAGTACCCGAAATAAAATTTTAATACAACCACAATCATAGACCCAAATAACTCATGCACGCTTATGCAAAATCATAATTCCTAAGTCACCGACCCCAGAAAATTGTATATTTCAGATGTATTAGTTTATCTCGCGCCTCTTTTCATCCTTGTTTACATTTTTTTTTTCTTATTAAAATTCAAAGCTGATGATTTTGCCAGCAAAATATGAGTGTGGAGAGTTCATTACTCAAATGGTCACTCAACTATCCCAAATAATTTCCCAAACTCACTTTACTTTCGTTTGTAACAAAAAAGTCACTGAACTATGTCTATTGCACTCAGAAGGTCATTCAACTAGATTTTCAAAATTTTAAATTGCCAAATACCTATTTTACCCTCTAAATTATAAATATTTATCTTCTTTAATTTTTTTTAACTTTTTAATATTATGAGTTCCCCTTTTTAATTTATATTATGGACTTACCTAAAGAATAAATAAATATTATTTATAAATTAAAAAAATAAAAAATATTTAAGCATCTATAACGGTGGAATAACAAAATAATAACCATAGTAAAAAAATAATAATTAGAATAATTTGTTAGTAATAATAATTTTAGTATTAACAACAAAAATTCAAAAATTTATTTACACAATTCAGAATGAGAAAATAAAGGTTGTAAAATACATATTTCATGCACGTAATATAAAAATAATTATTTAAATATAATTATTTTTATAATATATATTATATATTTCTAACAAATTCTATTTTTTTTACTATACTCATTATTTTGTTATTCGAGCATTATATATGCTTAAATACTTTTTATTTTTTTTTAGTTTATAAATAATATTTATTTGTTCTTTAGGTAAGTCCATAATATAAATTAAAAAGGGAATATCATAACATTAAAAAGTTTAAATAAAATAAAAAGAAGATAAATATTTATAATTTGAGGGTAAAATAGGTATTTGGCAATCCAAAATTTGAAAATTTAGTTGAGTGACCTTCTGAGTGCAATAGGCATAGTTCACTTTAGGAGATAATTTAGGATAGTTGAGTGACCATTTGTGTAATGGACTCGCAAAATATTTGTTCGTGTTAAGTCGAATTCCATTTCTCCCATAAGTTTATTTCTTTATTAGAAGGAATTAAACTCGCTCACTAAAACATGTTTACATGATCTTATAGTTGAAAATAGAAGTGGCTGAAATTGACAGAATGCTTCCACGTTTGAGTTGTAGAAATTAAATCTTCCTTTTCTATTCATATTTTTCCAAAATCTTTCAGAAATATTTTTAAAAATAAACTTTCAACTGAGAAAATAAACGCAAACTCTTCAAACTGCGAGAGATCATAAAAAAGAAAATAGCCAAAAAATTGCCTAGCACTACAAATTTGTTCCTTTTGCTATATTGAAAGGTCATTTAGCTCTGTAGAGTTGAAATTTACGCAACATTTCAAGAGAAAGTTGAAAAACACACCCAAAAAAAATAAAAATAAAAATAAAAATTGTGAATTAGTCTTCAAGTAGATGCTTGTTCTACATTCTTATATAGCTTAGCATCAATTACTCATTTCATATCCTTTCCCATCAACCTTCATTTAGAACATATTATCGTTTTCTTCTTACTCTTTAGCTACTTATTCCTATCTCTTTCTTATAACATATTTCTTTTAATTTTCCCAATATTTTTCTACGTACCACTTTTGTTTCTTTGGTTCTTCAAATTACAAGATCTCAATAACGGAAATTTCTTTAATCTCCAACTGAATTTTGAGGTCTAAAGAGCAATGCACTGTTATTATTGGTAAGTCACACAAAACTCAATCTGATCCATTAGATTATTTTCTTTTCTTTATTTAGAATTAGTATATTGTTTAGCTAATTTTCTGTTACGTAGAAGAAATACCATGTCATTTTTCAAGAATTTGTGGTTCTTTTTTTTATTTTATTAGTCATCTAGTAGACTTAGCGAAAAATAAAATATATAATAGAAGAAAAATGTATATAAAGGATGCATTAACTTGTTAGAATTAAGGGTTAATTAGTCATGATGATAAGCTTGCATTAGGTCCATTGTTTAATAGGAGTCTGTTTAAATTTGTTAGAAATCTATAAATCTATATATCGGTTGGTTATTTTTGCACGAAAATGTAATTAAAGAGTACAAATAAATAAAAGAAAGTCTTAAACCAAAATGTACTAATGGTCTAGTGGTAGAATAGTATTTTTATTTGCATTATTAAAATACCGACCGACTTTGGTCGGGTTTTTCGACAATTTTTTTTTTTTTTTTTTTGGATCGTTTGTGAAATTTAATTGACCGACCGAAATCGTTCGGAAATTGCAACCGATTTCGGTAGCTGTTTATTACCGACTAGCCTAATTTCGATGGATTAAAGTCGGCTGGAAATCGGTCGGTTTTCCCAGTTTTCCGACCAATTTCGGTCGGTATTACTGGACGGTTTTAGGCAGTTTTCTAGTAGCGAGAGAAACTAATTTTTTTAATATTAGAGATGGAAACATGTTCAAATAGAATTAATATCTCGCTTAGCTTGAAATTGAGTTGTAATTGTTGTTGTTTCGGCTTTACTCGTACTGTGTTTCCTGAAATATATAATTGTGGTAGTGGAGAGGGAGGGAAGCTTCTTTTCTTTGTTTTCACCACCGTACTGTAACCACTTTGTGATGTTAGGGAATTGACTAATCCAACCAAAGTGGCATACCAGAAACTATTTCTTCACTTTCATGCACGTCTTTTCTTCTTCTTTACTTATTACCCTTCATGTACATAAAACAAAAAAAGAAATACAAGCTTGGCAATAACAGGTGATTGGTGTTAAAACATACTACAAAGATATTAAGTTGTGATTAAATTATTTTTGTCATACTAGTACGTTTACTTTTAAGTTTATATATATATATATATATATATATATATATATATATATATATATATATATATATATATATATATATAAAAGAGTGTAAATGTCAAAAATCAGGGTAGTAGGGAATCAAGCATCTTTCCTTTTAAGTATTATTCTCGTATATTCATACGTTGTTAGATTTCTATTACTATCTGACAATCAGTGGCGGAGCCGCATTGAACCAAGGGGTGTCAAGCGATACTCCTTCGTCGGAAAATTATACTATATTGCTAGATAATTTTTTTTATTTTATGTATATTTATTATACGTTGACTCCCCTTGATTTTTTTATGTATCTAATTATTTATATTTTGACACCCTTTGATGAAAATTCTGGCTCTGCCACTGCTGACAATGTTGTTTTCTCGATTTTACTATTATCTTGTTGTTGCTACTGCTTCTTTGACTTTTTCACTACTGCATATCTTTTCTCTATACTGTTGCAATTATGCATGCTAGCTTTGACCCGAGGGTCTATCGAAAATAGCCTCTCAACCTGCATAAGGTAGGAGTAAGGTTGCTTACTATCTATCCTTCCCAAATCCCGTTTGTAGGATTATTACACTGGGTACTATTGTTGTTGTATAGATTTATACATATGCCATGGAAAATACAGAGAACTTCTAGCTAGCTAGTACTTTTAACTTTTATTTTGTATAATACTGAGTCGAGAAAAGCTTAAACAGAGCGACATAATGTATGAAAATGCATATAACCGATCGACAACAACTTGCTTGGATATATTATATTGTGGCATAGTTGATTGTTCCATTATTTCATTTTTTTCTTTACTGTGAGTTTTCTCCAATTTTTTCTTTCGACAAGAAAGTTCTATACAACTTGTAGAAACACAAATGACACTTTGATCGATCATCTCATTTTTTTTTCGTTTTGTTTTTTCCCAGAGTCATAATCAACTGCTGAAAAAGAATAGCAAAGAAATGGTGACCATAAAGAATTTCTTCAAGAAAGCTTCTTCAGATGAAAACAAAGAAAAACTGCTAGCACATGATGATGAAAGAAAAGGCTGCTGCAATTGTTTCAGTCCATTGAATGATAGGTTTACTAGTTTTTTCAACAATTTACAAGATTTTGCTAAGAAAGCAATCGAGATGGGTCGCAATGATCCTCGAAAAATTATTTTTTCCTTAAAGATGGGATTTGCATTATCTTTTGTGTCTCTTCTCATCTTTTGGAAGAAACCTAATGATATTGCTCAGTTTGCAATATGGGCAATCTTAACAGTTCTTGTTATGTTTGAGTTCAGCATAGGTAAGAAATTTTAATTAGCATACCTCTCTTATTTTTGCTTGCTTCTTAATTTTACTGGGATTTAAATTACTCATTACGTCACAATTTATGTGATAGTGTTTGACTGGATATAAAGTTTAAGTGGGCGTTTGGACATAAGAATTGTAAAATTTCAAAGAAAAGTAAAAAAATTTTCAAGTGAAAATTGTATTTGAAAAGTTAGAGTTGTGTTTGGACATGAATATAATTTTAGGCTGTTTTTGAATTTTTGTGAGTGATCTGAGTGAAAATTTAGAAAAATAGCTTTTTGTAGTTTTTCAAATTTTTTGAAAAATTCCAAAATTCATCTTCAAGTTAAAATTGAAATTTTTATGGCCAAACGCTGATTTCGAAAAAAGTGAAAAAAATTCTTATGTCCAAACGGGCTCTAAGAAAAAAATGAAGACTTTTGAAATTTGTGATTTAGAATGAGGTTATAAATCATCTTATTAAGGATAAACAGTTTAAAGTTAAATTATTATTAAATTTAGAAAAATATCATTCTTTTGGGGACTAATTAAAAGGAAAAAAATATCACATAAATTGGAACGAGAAGAGTATATACACTGGTAGTAGAATGAATTTTTTACATTATCATTGTGATTTGATCTGTTAGTAATAGGTTAATAACCATGTATCTTAGATTATTATTGAATAATACTAAATAAAGTTATATGCAATGGCCTGATTGTGTAAATTTTCTTACACCATTAGTAGATAGAATTTTAACTGTAATTTATATGAGTTTATGTTTTCTGTCCATTGACAGTGTAAAAGTTTCATATGCATAGATAAATGTTTATATAATATTAGTTGGTAATCTAGTAAAAATATTGTATATGTAACTAACAACCTGCTATAAAATGTTAAGTTACACGAATAACATAAAAATCTGTACATCGTTTTGCTGTAGCCAATGAGTATTAAATATTTGCTGATATAGTTACCCTTTTCACCCTTTTGTTTTGTGCAGGAGCAACCTTAATTAAAGGATTTAATCGTGGTTTGGGGACATTTTGTGCTGGAATGCTTGCCTTCATCTTTGCTCAATTAGCATTGTGGGCTGGAGAAAGGGAAAGAGTTGTAATTGTTGTGAGCATTTTTATCGTAGGTAAATTTTCTATTCCCACAAATTCCTCATGTTTCAAATTTTCTCTTAAAGTCCGTCCCAATTTATGTGATGCAGTTCGGATTTCAAGAGTCAAAACTTTTTAATTTTGACTACGTATTCAGATATAGAAACTTTAAACTTTTTGAAAATTTCCATATTTAAAAACTATATAAAAGATATTATAAGTCGTAATAATTAGTAGTTCAAAAATACTCAAAAGGAATATGAAAAAATCACGATCAAAGAAAAAACTCATTTGACTCTTGATATTTGAACTGCGTCATATAAATTGGGATAGAGGATTACGTAATTAATCTCATCTATTATTTTCTTTTATTTTTTGACAGCATTTTTTGGATCATACTTGAAGCTATACCCAACAATGGCACCATATGAATATGGATATCGAGTATTTATCTTGACGTATTGTATCCTAATTGTGGCTGGAAACAGGACTAGAGAGTATAATGTGGCAATTTGTACTCGTTTGGCTTTGATTGCTCTTGGTGCTGGTATTTGCTTGTTGATTAATATCAGTATTTACCCCATCTGGTCTGGTGAAGATTTACATCGTTTGGTGGTTAAGAATTTCATGGATCTTGCAAATTCTCTGGAAGGTGAGACAATATTTGAGTGTCATCTCGTACTACGTACAGTTCATATTATTTTTTTCTCGCACGTCTCTAGCTCGTTAAAAAGACACTTAATAGTCTTAATCAGAAAAGTATTTGTCTAAATTATTCTATATCTTTCTCTTAAACATCTCACTCCATTAACCGTATTTTCACTAATTGAAAAAAATAATATAAATAACTTGTTATTTTTCTAAATATCAATATTTTGGAAAAAGATTAGTGTGACAAGATGACAAATGTTGGTATCTTTACACAAATAGCCGTCCATATTTACTGTTTACTTTTTCTAGCCATATACATAGATTATACACATATAATACATACATTATGCATATATTATACTTCCACAAGCTATTTTTAGTTTAAGCAGTTAGTGAGGGCTATTTGGGTTAATTCTTCGCGATTATTACACAAATAGCCGGCCAGAGTCGATGTTTACTTTTTCTAGCCGGTATGCATAGTTTATACATTTAATATACTCAATTATACATAAATTTTATATATATATATATATGCTGACTATTTTTAGTTTAAGAGATTCACCAGTGAGCAGCTATTTGGTTTAATTCTTCGTATATTTGGGACCACAAAAAGCATTTAAGGTGGACAGCATCACATTTATATTTCTCCAATTTTGGATCAATAAAATTGCTAGTTATACAACTTGAATCCATGAAATTTTGAACAGGTTGTATCAATGGGTACTTAAGTTGTGTTGAGCATGATAGAGATGCAAATGACTCAGAATACAATGGCTACAAATCTGTCATAGAATCCACAGGTCGAGAGCAAACATTGGTACGTACATTACGTTGTAACATTTATGTATCTACTAACTTACGTTGCTCACGCTTTCCAAAAATACTACCTTACCCATATGGATCCTCCAAAAATATAGTAGTGTTACTTTTGGAAGATCCGACACACACTCCAATACCATTTTTAAGAGTCCGAGCAATATAACTACGAACTAGTTGCTCATTAATTTACTTGGAAGAACTCGTGACAATCTACACTTTTGAACAGCTTGGATTTGCTATTTGGGAGCCACCTCATGGGCGTTATAGAATGCACAAGAATCTGTGGAGAGACTTTGTCAAATTAAGCAGTGCATTGAGGCATTGTGCATTCATGGTCATGGCATTGCATGGATGTATCCAATCAGAAATCCAGGTTCTAATTGAAATAATGTTTATGCTATTTTACCATGTTAAAAACAAATTATTTACTACATTGTTTAGGTTCTCAAATTAGGTTTATTATAGATGGTTATTTATTGTTATAAGTCATCTTAACCTGATAATCTAATTTTTTTTTTGTACATTGTGAGTATACAGAAGTTATTAAACTCTTAACATTTTGATTTAACTTATATATACACATAATCTAGACTTGAAAGGGATCCTTAGCGTAACTGATAAAGTTGCTGCTATGAGCAGGAGGTCACGGGTTCGCGCCGTGAAAATAGACTCTTGAAGAAATATAGGGTAAGACTGCGTATGATAGACCCTTGTGGTCCGGGCCTTCCCCGGACCTTGCACATAGCGGAAGCTTAGTACACCAGACTGCCCTATATACATCATCTAAATAACTTTTACACTATACTTGTATTTTAACAAGTTATCGCAGGTTATTAACTTTTATGCAAGTACAATCTAAATAATTTTTACACTATCGGTATATTTTAACAAGTTATTTACTGTAATATTGTTTAGGTTATCAAATTAGAATTACTATATATAGTGAGTTACCTATTGTTGTAGGTCATCTTAACCTGATCGTAGAGTACAAATATTAAACTCTCATTTTTGCAGGCACCACCAGAGAAGAGGAAGGTATTCCGTAATGAGCTAAAAAGGGTTGGTGCAAATGCTGCAAAAGTTCTACGTGAGCTAGGAACAAAGTTAGACAAATTGGAAATGCTAGATAGTCATGAAAATATTCTAAAAGAAGTGCATGAGACAGCTCAACATCTGCAGAAAAAAATAGACCACAAATCATATATTTTGGTCAATTCCAAGAGTTGGGAAATTGGAAAACCAAACATTAATCATGAAGATTCTTCAAGTGAAAATGGTAGTGAAAATTTGCCATTAAGTTCTCGATCTCGATCACTAAGTGAAACAGCCATTGATATAAGTTCATTACAAGCAAATTGGCCACAATTGGCAAAAGAATCGTCTGAATTTACAAAGTCATCATTTAGAAAGCAAAATCAATGGCCTTCACGTCTTTCACTTGCTGATGGTGATATTGCTGATACGTGTGAAATGGAAACTTACTTAAGTGCAAGTTCTTTGTCTTTGGCTACTTTTGCTTCACTACTTATTGAATTTGTTGCAAGGCTTCAGAATGTGGTTGACAACTTTGAAGAATTAAGTCAAAGGGCAGAGTTTAAAGAGCCAGATGTTATCATCCCACCTAGTGCAATAAAGAGTTAGGGCTCGTTTGGTACTGAGGGATAAAGAATAATTAAGTTCGAGATAACTTGTTTCCAACCAAACCATGTTGATGTGATTTACTTCAAGTTGTGAGTTTTTTGAAGATTCAGTTTTTGTGAAATGAAAAGGTAAAAGATAGTCATTTGTTTGTTGTGTGACGAGGAAAAGAAATAGGAAAATGAACATTTGTATATTGGTGTATGGATATCTCTTGTATCATGAATAGATTGGGGTGTTCGTCGGTCACAGAACGGTATAATATTTAGATATTTCGATTTGATATTTTTGGTATTCGATTTTTTAAAATGTTATACCAATATCATATCTAATTAAATTCGGTATGGTTCGACTTTTTCTTCTGGTTTCGATTTATTAGGTATGGTAACTCCGATTTGTTCGGTTCGATTATTAACTAGTGCATGAAGTCATATATTATAATATTCTTAAGTAAGGTGCTCACAAATACGAAAATAAAAATATTATGATATAGTGAAAAAAAAGATGAAAACCAAAAATACTAAACCAAAACGGGAAAAGGTTGAAACGTAAGTAAACAACAAAAGAAAAGGGGAAAAGACAAGTACGGTGGAAAAAAGGTGGTAAAAGTTAAAAGAAAATTATAAAATAATGGAAAGTAAAATTTAGAACTTTAATATTTATGTTATAATCAATAATATGTGTATTATGTAACTTAATATATATTTCGTTATGGTATTCGTATTTCGGTATTTTATTTTTAAATATCGAATACCATATCTAATATCAATTTTTTTTTAAAACTTAAATCAAATACCATATGAAATATCAAAATATCAAATACCAAATACTAATTTTTTTTTTATTTCAATATAGTAATTCGATATTTATCAAATTATGCACGGCCCTATGAATAGGTATGAACGCAAAGGCCAAAAATGTTACTATCAAATTGCTCTGCTCTGTCAACCAGTTTATGATTTGTTTCATCATTCTACAACAATTAATACAGAAAACACATGGTTAATTAATAATCGTGCAATTCAGAATATAGCAAGGAGGTCCCTTTTTGTACGGTTGTAATGCAAGATCGACGATAACCTTAAAGGTAATTAAAAGTAACTAGGTAAAGGGGAGCGAGTAACTTGAAAGATGAAGCAATTAATCTTCTACAACATGGTTAATTAATAATCGTTGCGTTGTGCTGTAAAAGTTCATTTAAATTGTTAAAATAAATCCAGTTCAAATTTGTAACAATATATATATGTTGGCCCAAGTAAAGGTTAGTTTTGAAGACTGACATAGGAACTCAAACATGAACCAGGTCCATCCCAATGGAGCACAGATGTGGATAGACTTGAGCATGTGGGATGCACATGAAGGAGATAAACCTAACTTAACAGATTTGATATCTCCTGATCCTGATCAAAAAGGTTGCATAATTGATAAGGAGAATGACTTCTTACTCAAAGAGAATACGATTTAAGAAAGGGAAGGAGTTAGAGGTTGAGTTCTACTAGAACTCTTCTACCAAGGAAGCGTAGCATCAGAATACCAAGAAAGAGTAGCATCAGAATTCTAGTCAATCTCTATTTACTAACTCTATAAATATCAGTGTTGTTCTCTTTTACAGGTAACACACATAAGCAGAAGTTAAACGTGAACTGAGAGCAAAATAGCAAGGCAATTTTGCAAGCAGTTCGTGTGTGATTCAAGTGTGCAAACTTGAAGTTACATGAACCAGATAGAAGAACCAGTTCCAAGTGTCTGTCTTTTATTCTAGTTCAATTGTAGTAGGTGGTTTTATATTGTACCTTTCAGCTTTATCTAGAGGCAATTGTAATAGGTACTCAGAGTCTTCAAGTTAGAGTTAACTTGAAGTTGTCGCAACAGTTAGAGGTTGTGTGCTACAACAGGATTAGAGTTAGTCCTAGATTTACAAAAGAGTTTTTGTAAATGCAGTTTTTGGCTCAGTGATTTTAGTGGTGAGTTTTACGAAAATCCTACTGGAAAGTAGGTCGTGATTTTTTCACCTTTTGAGCCAGGTATTTTTCGCGTAAAATACTTGTGTTCTTTACTTTCCGCATTTACTATTTCTGCAATAGTAGGTTAAGGAATACTTAGAAGAACCGTGTCCTTCCATAATCAGTTTAAGCGAAAAATTGGTCACCACACAAATCATCCCCCCCTCTTGTGTGGTATTGAAGTATAAAACATCAATTGGTATCAGAGCAGGTTATCCTTGAAGAGGCTAACACCTTAGGAACAGATCAAGATGAGTGCACCACCTGGAAACTGGGAAGGGAAATCCACTGCTAGGCCTCCACTCTTTAATGGCCAGTACTACTCCTGGTGGAAAAACAAGATGAGAGATCACATCATTGGAGAAGACTATGAGCTATGGGATATTGTCATTGATGGTCCCCTGGCTACAATGAAGAAGAATGCTGAAGGAGTAGACGTGCCAAAAATAAGAGCTGACTGCAATGCTGAGGACTTGAGGAAGTGGGAAAAGAATGCAAAGGCCAAGAAATGGCTTGTGTGTGGACTTGGTCTAGACGAATATAGTAGAATTCAAAGTTGTACCACTGCTAAGGAAATCTGGGACTCTGCAAGTGGCTCATGAAGGTACTCCTCAAGTGAAGAGGTTAAGAGGAACACNTCCGACCATGCGCACAAGCACAATACTTGAAATGAAGCTGCTCACGGCCTCAGGCTGCTGAACGGAGCGCTAGAACTCAAACGACCGGTCGGGCGTTACATTCTCTCCCACTTAAACATACGTTCGTCCTCGAACGTGCTGAGAACTACACTGAAGTAGTCTGAAATCACTGGTTAACTCCTCATGCACCTTCCCGTGCTACCACAACTCAGTTGAGCACGTTAGCTCGTTCAATTATGAAGATATTCTCTTTTATTCAAGCAGATACGCCTTAATGCCCAATTCCAACATCCGGAATTCTATGCCCGACCTGTTTCCAACATAAGATCACCCTATCAATCACTACACGCTGTACCCAAACATGGCTGCATAACTTTGCTGGATTCACCCCTAGCATCACTTTACTCACCGGACCGCAATAACACCTTCTGATCAACTTAGTCGAAATTCCACGATTATGATGCTCCCATTGCACCCCATAACATACACAGGTTTTACTCTAACTCTTATAATGCCGCCACAATGGAAGAGATGTGCAGAAACCCATAATCAACTGCCGAGTCAACCAATCATTGAGTCTATACTTCTGACAAGAAACATTACCACATTCTGAACCAAATAATGATCTTTGCTCCTTAATATATTCCATACAGTCAGATTGCACTGATCCTGAATCCAATGATCTCATCTCACCCAGTACGAACCGCTCGGGCAATAAGCCACCCCGGACACAATCAAAAGTCTCATATGATGCCACAATGTGCCAATAGGCTACCAATTCAAACACGATACAATGAAAACGAACTGTGGAAAGGAAATCCAATTACCCCGCTCGCGAATCGTACATGCGACGCGGGCACACAGCTAACATGAGCTTTCCTCATAAAAATAGGAAACAAAACACATAAAAACAGATATGGGGAACTATACTCCGCATCACCCTGTTGCGGCGCGCAACCCGATCCAAACAACATAACCATGGCGGCGTGCCACCCGATTCACCTATAAAACTCACATAAGGAGATGCACACCGAGCTAGATTGCTCGTTTCAATAAAATGCCGAATATCGGTCACAAGTACGCTAGGTGCATAATACCATCCCTGGGGAGACATATAGTGCCATAAGCAACAAAACTCAAGCACAACTGAGGTGCGATTTACGATTTGAAATCTCAAAAGCCATCCTGCTCATATCACATCATCTCTACGCGGATCCTCAACACATAAGCAATATCTCAAGCCGCCTCCCAATTCACACGGCGCAACGTATCACTACATGAAATATCTGACAACAAAACAACACCCTGACTATTCCTCCATAAGGAGCGCATTACTGAATTGAACACGTTTGGCCTGATATAGAGCCCATATTCACGTTTGAATCCATCCACCGACCTCAAGCCGATTCTGATCGTACCAAAATAGTCCAATGACCCTTCAAAGGCCCATACTAACTCCCCTACTTCTCATAACACACAAGGACAACCATCACAACAGGAGTAATCCTCCGCAGCCCAATAAACTGAGTGCCCTCCAGGCATATATTCTCAAATCAACGATATTATCACAACCTTCATACTTGGTTTAAGTCTTTAATCAATCCAGTGACTACCTGCCACACTTATACAATCTTCCTGTGGGACACACTCCCACAACCTACCATAACAAATAACTGGGTCGTACCTCCAAACCACCGGCCGCACTAACGCTGAAAAGCGATCAAGAATAATTAACCAGGATGCAAAGCCCTTTTTACAAAACACCGATCTCACGTGACGCTGATGACAAAACCAACTTTCCTTAAACATCGAAACTCCTTTCCTGCTCATCCGAGCTTGTGACATCCTTGTCAACACCGAACTGCTACCTTGATCTTCACTTCAAATTCCATACCACTCACTGCACTTAACATGCCAATATACGATAGAACTCATTTTTTCATCATAGCTTCAGAACCACTAATAGGCTAGCACTTCATCATATAAAAACTTTTCACTTAACTCACTTCAGGAGATCCATAATGTCACACAGGTGAATTCTCATAACCGTAGAATATGCAAATCTCTAAGTAGTGGTCTAAGCCACCATGGTCCTTCCGGAATCTGCTTCCGCATAACAAGACATAGCAGTAGAATGCTTTTGAATAACATCAATTACGGCGGCTGACAAGCCTGATACGTACCGTCACAACTCACTTGCATAACTCGATCACGCTGAGGAAACTGATCACTAACACCAATATGCCAAATTCAATTATGGCCAATCAATCTACCTTCTTCCAATTTATCCTTGATTGCCTTAGAGATAACACTAACTCCATCCACACATAAAATACTCCATCCGCACTCATCTCGAGTGACCTTGAATCACGAAACTATGTTGTCTCAAATCCCCTGAACCATTTCATACCTTCCTTGTGTGCACATTCGCACCCCCAACTGATATGCCCATTCTGCTAATCCTTCTACGAATCCGAAGTCCTTTCTCATCTTTCTCTCAAGAGCTACACTGCAAGTCAAAACATCATAGAACATTCTGGGCCTCCATTCGTAAGCTGCTGCAAAAGATTGATTCGTAACTGTACTTATAGGCTCGAAATCATTAGGC